TGCATACCACAAGTGGTGGTTTCTGATAAGATTTTTTCTACCAAGTCACACAGAAAAAGGGAAGACTAGAATATGTTCAAGAGTGCATGCAACATCAAAACATCACCTCAAAAAGAACACACCAAATCCAGAAGCCAAGTCTCCCTTCTGCTTCCAGCAGTCAAAGCTGCAAGGAACTGCTCTAACATCACACAAAGGGGCTTTCACCTTGAGATAAAAGACAAAAAGCACCAGGAGAGCCAAAGCCATCACCCAAAATATAGAAGTCCATCTCTAACAAATTACTTTAAGCCTCTCAAATCAGTAAATCTCAATGTCTATAAAACATTGAACTGATGGGTCTTTTGACTTTTTTGTTATTTTTCTTTAAACAATTTGAGATTTTATTTATTGTTATTTTATATGTATGAGCATTTGTCTGAACGCATGTTCACCACCTACATGCAGTGCCTGCTGAAGCCAGTAGAGGCCATCAGATCCCCTGGGACTGGAGTTATAGACCACTGTGAGCCTCTATGAAGGAAGTTGAAATTGAACATAGGTCTTCTGGAAGAGCAGCCAGTGTTCTTAACCACTGAGCCATCTCTCCAGCCTTGCTACTTTTTTAAGCAGTTCAGGATGTCCTCAAATTCAGATCATTCTGCTTCAGCCTCTTTTGTTTTTGAACATATTTTCAAATAAGGATGTTGCCATCAAGATACCATCATTTCCTTGTTAAAACCTAAATTGCTCCATATTAGCTAATTTCAGATACCTGGCTCTCCCAGCAATAATAATTTTATCTTTAGACTAAGAGAAAAGCTTACATTATACAACTTAAGACTATTAGAGTCACTCATTGGGTCAAATCCAGATGAAGGGCAACAGCAACCAAGTCCTTGGCAGCTGACTGCCAGTTCCCTAGATGATGCCTATAGTTATCTTTTAAGGCTCAGTAAAACCTCTTAATTCCCATAATTTCCTTAAGTCATAGAATTAAGTCATGGGACACTTTGAAATCCCAAAGTTAATATTTTTTGACACTTGCCTAATAAAAACCAAACCAATACCTTGTTTGGGAGGGCCTGCAAAGTCACAAGTTCTCAAGACCACAATTTTATCTATATGCAATTTTACTGTTTTATTTTTTGCAGTACTGGAACTGAAATCAGTGCCCTGCATGTGCAAGGCAAACATTTTACTACTGACTAAGCCACTTCAGCCCTTGTTTCATTGAGAGCTGAACTAAGCTTTATTCTAAGCTCTTAAAGAGTTTGAGATCTTTAATTAACTCACGATTTCATAGGGAAAAAGCTAAAAATGAGTACAGTTAGGTAAAAATCCAACAAAAATGTTCATGCTATACCTCCAGCTCTTAGGAAAGGAAGATAAGCACACTTTTACTAAGGTTTGGCCAATAATAAGAGTCCAGACATCCACAATACTGGCTGGTAAAGAGCTACACTAGGTGAGCAGACATCCACATGCTAGCAGAGTGCCCAGAAGTAAAAAGGCCAATGTTTACTCTGGTCATACTGCCCCTTTTAACATGGGAATAGTCATGTCTGTCTTCTCTCAGAGTCTTGCTACCACTCAGTCATCCCACATATTATATTTACCATGAAAGTGGTCTTTTCAAGTATTTAAGCCACCACACACAAATCAAAGTTTCAATGAAAAATGTTCCTTGGAAGAGAAAAGCAGAAGAAAATTGTGGAAAGCAGAAGAGCACACACACTTTCTGTATAAACAAGCCCCAGAAGAAGGAAACCACTGACATTGGTCCTCCCTGAAATGATGAGTAGGTACAGTTCTCTGATTAGACAACAGCAGTGACTACAAAAGGCAGCGATGAGTACTGAGGACTTATTATGCCCTTCCCTTGGAAGAACAATAATGTTCTCTACCCAACAAAAAGATTGTTTCTGTCAGCCACATGGCCTGGTCTGCACGGATGTTACCAGAGCAGGTGATGAAAATGAGGTATTTTGCCACATTCCCTGGAATTCTACAGTCTAGGCTGTGCTTAAAACATTGGTTACTACAATGTCATTGTCCATGATTCTGTTTCCCAGAGATATAACTCAGACAGCCTGGTGATAAAATACTCTTTGCCAATTAAAAGATTCTTACTGACAGTCACCTTTAGAAAAGACAAAAGGTTCCAGGATACATAGTTTACCATGCAAACAAGCTAACAATTTTACCACTGCTGTTCTTTATTCTAGGTTAAAGAAACAAACTTCTCAGGAGTGACTGGGTGGAGTTGGGGCACTGGCATATGGGACTGTAGTCAGTTTTTCTTTCAAACTCCATAGCTTTGCCTCCCTCCCCCCAAGTAGATTAGGCCTCATAGAAACAGATTAGGCAGAGGGAACAACTCTATCTGGAAAAAGAAACACCGATTGCAAAAATGGATCATAACCTTCCAAAATCTTTGTGGTCTATGTAGTGCCCCAGATGTACCTCAGGATTCAAACCTCGTGAAAGAAAGAGTAAAAAGCTAGGGATGTAGCTCAGTGGAGTGGGGTGATTACCTAGCATGCACAAGGTCCTGGATTTGACCACCAGTACAACAACAACAATAACAAAAAGAAATTAAAAAATTCTCAGAGTACAAGTGACTACATGATACTTTCTTCCTAAGTGTAACAAGGATCTGCTACTGTAGGTTTAAAACACTTAAGGCTCATTCTCATGGAAAGGAAATAGGAATATGTGATAGATCAATATTAGCAAGAATGCCATACAGTTTCTTTAAACTCTTAGGACACACTAACTCAATTCTCAGGACACATTAACTTCAGATTTCACCAGGCACTTTGAAAAGAAACTGTATTCCAGAAGTTGCTTACATTGTTTAGAGAGCTAGGGGTACAACAAATAGCTAACTGGAAGGGTACCTGAAGGAAGCAAACACATTGCAGAATATGAAAATTAACTAAAGATTCCAACTCTGAGCTCAGGCTCAAATGAGCAAACCTTGGAATCTTTGACAAGCAAGGCTTGGGTGTGTTTATGAAAGTGAGAATGCGATCTGTTGATCAGCCACTTGGCTGCCCTGCCATGAATGGGTCATGTGCATCAACTCATTTTAGATAATTTGTACTTCTAAACTGTTTGGATTCTTTAAGGTTCTGACATACCCAGGTTAAAAAAAAAAGCAAGTGTTTCCTAGGCTTTGTAAGATTTGAAGTTAAAACAAACAAAATCTGAAGTTAAAAACAAACAAAAAACCAAAAGCCCATAAATAAATGTATTTTTCCAAACCCTTGGTGGAAATTCCCCAAAGACCTAAACAATCCAGACTTCATCTTTTTATAGAGATCTGGCATATTTCAAAGGAACCAAGAGGTCAGTTTAATCATGTTATTAATTGAAACTGCTGAGATTCACATGACAATTCCAACCACAAACCCAAAGTTCTCCTCTACAGTAATAATTACCTATTAGTACAATTTTACTACCCAGGCCCAATTTGGCTTCATTTATATAGTATAATAAAATACCTAGAACTTGTGAAAGTCCTACAACATCTCAGCCACCTAGCACTATAAATTAGTCCATTATGTTTCATGATCATCACCAACAACTCAGTATTTGATCCTATTGTCTCATTATTTGGGTTAATGATTCCGAACACTGGAGATAACATGCAAATGGCTCAACGGAACCCACTTGTATTCCTGGAAAAATAACCAGAAGCACCTATCTGCCTGACAATGAGTCAGGAATATCAATTTTGTGGTGAAGCCCATTTTTGCTGTGATTAACCCATACCCGAACACACAAGGAACTAGCACAGAATTACTCCCTAGCAAGCTTTGCCCTTCAGGGGGTCCATACTTAGTAATGTCATACAGGGTCTTTCTTGTGAGAGCAATCTTTTTAGACTCCATAATGTCTTTAAACCTTCAGTGCAAAAACCTCAGAAACATTGCCACATAAAAGTCACCTGTGTTTTATTTTAAGTTATTTGGCCATAACCAAACTAAAAAGAGAATGAACTTTCAGAGATAATCCAGGAGTCAGAGCGATGTGATGAACTTGCCCCATCTGGTACTGGCGATCCTGAGCGCTCCAGGACGAAGAGAGCCCGTTACATACAATGTCCCATTCCACTTATGTAACTGGATGATCGCTGGCGAAGGAGGGGGGTTGGGTGGGTAGACGATCATATTCCGAAGCCACAGCACAGCACCCCCAAAGAACCAGAGCACCCTGAGGGCATGGTCTCACGGAAGAGCTTCAGGTGCTGAGGAACGCACAGTCCCCTTCCCACGGTTCCTGACGAGAACTATAACCATCTCTTTATGATGAGTTTTGGGACCCAGAACATAATGTCTAGTCCTTTATGTGGGTGGACAATAACCCCCACCTACTTGTTCCTGCCAAATGGGGAATGGAGCTGGAGGACCGACTCACTTGCAGTGGGGGCAAAAAGTCATGGAATGGGTGAAGAGGAGGGGTAAGCAAAGCCCAGAGATGGGGGTGAGAGCTCAGGAGCCCTTGTGGCGCACTCTCCCAACGGGAGATGGACTGCGCACGCGCGCAGTGTGAGTGTGTGTTGGGGGGGAGCGAGTAACGGGAGAGGGGGCGCGCGAGGGAGAGGGGACAGCGCGATCCAGGGAGAGGCCGGGACCACGGGCTCACGACACTACCGTGGCCCAAAGCCCCAAGAAGGGCAGGAGCGCGCACAGGCCCAAGTGGCGAAGCCCAGACGACAAGGGCGCCCGCACGGCCGAGGCCCAGGATGCGCACAGAAGGGGCGGGCAGCGGGAGGGCGTCATTCGAAGGTGGCTCCAGGGAGATCGTGCTGAGGACGGTCGCTCGGGACTGCGGGTGACGAGTGGAGGAGAAAACCGCCACCGGCAGCAGAGGGAGGGGGAGGGTAGAGAGGAGGGACGCCATCCGCCAGCCTTGTCGCCCGACCCCGTGGGCCCCTCCCGCGCCACGTCCCGCCCCTACCCCTCCGCCCCCCGGCAAGGGTCCCCGCCCGCGGCCTTGGCGGTCCCACTCACAGTCTCTCTTCCTCGCCTCCTCCTCCGCTCGGCGCGGCGGCGGCGGTGGCGGCGGCGGCGGCGGCGGCGGCCATTTTCCGAACGGCTTTTACCACAGCCCTCTCTCCGAGAGGAGGGAGCGCGCGCGCAACCGATGCCGGGACCCCGCACGGCCGACGTCGCGCCCCGCCCTCCCGGCCAGAATGTGCGCTGCTGCACCTGCGCGCCCGTGCCCCACCTCCGGCACTTCGTCAAACCTACCCTCCATTGGCTGTAGCGCCAGGCTGGGGCGGAGCCTTAGGAGTGAAACCCCCAATTGGCAGGAGGTCCTGTCTGTTTAGGTCAGGGAAAAGGGGGCGGACCCCATTCAGTTGCGGATTGGTGATGGTCCACTGTCATTTGGAGAAAAGAGGCGGCTAGGGCATGGAGGGGCTGGTTTTGTGGGCGGCTTTTGATGCTAAAGATTAATGGGGCCCAAGTGGATGCAGGCGCTTAAGAAAGCCGAGGCTCTGGGCTTCTATTAGCTCCGCCCTGCTGAGCCGTTGACTCTCTATCTGCAAGCGCATCTAGTACTGCACCAGCATTTTCTTAGTATCATTTTCACTAGAAGCAACAAAGTTGCCTGCTGAGAAGCCTGACATTGTTCCAAGCAAAGGGACTGGTTTTAAAGGGCCTATCCATGTAGTATTCCACTTAATTTCCAGATGTCACACTCTTAGGGCTGGCAGTAAACTCAACATATCAAACCCTGGTTTTTGCAGACTTCTATGGTGGGAAGATGGTGCGTGCCAAGCCCATATGAGATCTGTCATTGTTGATCAGATGCCTAGGTGGAAGTATGTATAAAAGGCAGTGAGCCCAAAGGAAGCAGCACTGCTTTGAAGATGTAATTTGGGACCTGAGACCCAGTAATCTGAATTTAAGAGTATGGGGGGAGGTTTAGGTGATAGGGTGTCAGGCAAGAGTGTCAAAGCAACCTTACCCTGATATCAGTCATCATCCAATGCTTCTTTTGCTAATCTTATGCTCAACAAGAGACTTTCTGATTCAAATTTGGCTCCCTGCTCCATTCATTTATTTGCTAGGCACTGTTTTAGTACTGAACAAGGAAACAAACTAGAGTCTTGGTAAGGAAGAATCATCACTAAACATACAAGTAAGTAGAACTTAAATATTTACAAAGAAATAAAGACTTTGAAATAGATAAGGCAATGGTGAAAGGAGTGCAATTTAGATACTCTGGCTTTTGCCTTCATGTTATCCCCCAATATGTGTAACTGAGGAAAACATTCTAGGCAAGTTTAAAGACCCTAAGGAAGGACTATGCCTGACTTACCAAGGAGACCATGTGACTGGAGAGAAGTAAGAGAAGTAGCCTAGGCCACCAGGAGAACTGGGAGATTATTTTGAGATGAGAAGCCTGCTGTGGGATGTCTTCTGTACACTGTGAATATGTTGTCCCCATTAGTTAATAAATAAGCTGCTTTAGCCTTTAGCAAGGTAGCTTAGAGGCAGATGGGAAGTCCAAGCAGAGATACAGGAAAGAGATAAGTGGGAAGAGGAGATGCCAGCCTGCAACAAGATGCCCAAAGACTGGTAACGCTACAGTCACATGGCAAAACATAGATGAACAGAAATGGGTTAATTTAAGATGAAAGAGCTAGCTAACAAGAAGCCTGAGCCATAGGCCATAGAGTTTGTAATTAATATAAGTATGTGTTTACTTGGGATTGAGCAGCTATGGGACCAGGTGTGACACAGGAAAACTTCCATCTACGGAAGCCCTTGATAGATATTTGAATCAGTAGCTGACATCTTGAAACCTATGTTGCAGGTGGGGAATGGAGGTGGACACTAGGACTAAGACCAAGAGGCCAGTCCAGAGGTTCTGGCAACAGTCGAAGAGAGAGATGATGGTGGCTCTAACTAGGGCAGTAGCAGCTGAATTGTGATATTTAAGATGTATGTTCAAAATTAAGCCAAAAGTATTTGATGTCAGATGGAAAGAAAGAAAAAAAAAGGATGATAGCTGACTTTGGGGCAGGATCACCCAAGTGAATGTTTTGTTTTGTTTTACCACAATGGGGAAAACTAGAGGATTCTCAGCACCCAGACAGCCACTCGAAACCAACTGTAATTTTAGTCTCAGGAGATCCGATGCCCTCTTCTGATCACAATGAGCACCAGGCACACACATGGTACATATACATACACACACAGGCAAAACACTAATACACACAAAATAGTAAAATAGATAAATGTAAAAAATTTAAGTGAATGTGGTCACAGAGTGGCAGAGACTGCATGTGTATGTGTGACTATGATGTATGTGACTGTGATATGTGTGTGAGTTATGAGCATGCATGTTGGAGTATAAGCATGCAGGTATTTGCATATGCAGAGGCCAGAGGAGGATGTAGAGTGTTATGTTCTATCACTCTCTACCTATTTCTTTCAGAAAATGTCTCCCACTGAAACTGGAAGTACACTGATAGCCAACATGGCCCAGCAATCCTCCTGTCCCTGTTCCCCACAGTACTAGGGTTTCATGTTTATGTGTGGCCACTTGGATTTTTTTTAATTTTTTAATTTGATTTAATTTTACATATCAGCCACGGATTCCCCTGTCCTCCCTCCTCCCACCCCCTCCCCCCAGCCCACCCCCATTCCCATCTCCTCCAGGGCAAAGACTCCCCTGAGGATTCAGTTCAACCTGGTAGATTCAGTCCAGGCAGGCCCAGTCCCCTCCTCCCAGGCAGAGTAAAGTGTCCCTGCATAGGCCCCAGGCTCCAAACAGCCAGCTCATGCCCTAAGGACAGGTCCTGGTCCCACTGCCTGGATGCCTCCCAAACAGTTCAAGCTAATCAACTGTCTCACTTATCCAGAGGGCCCGACCTAGTTGGGGGCCCCTCAGCTATTGGTTCACAGTTCATATGTTTCCACTATTTTGGCTATTTGTCCCTGTGCCTTTTCCAATCTTGGTCTCAACAGTTCTCGCTCATTATAATCCCTCCTCTTTCTCGCCGATTGGATTCCTGGAGCTCCACCTGGGCCCTGGCCATGGATCTCTGCATCTGCTTCCATCAGTCATTGGATGAGATTTCTAGCACAACAATTAGGGTGTTTGGCCATCCTATCACCAGAGTAGGTCAGTTGGGGCTTTCTCTTGACCATTGCCAGCAGTCTATTGTGGAGGTATCTTTGTGGATTTCTGGGGACCTCTCTAGCACTTTGCTTCTTCCTATTCTCATGTGGTCTTCATTTATCATGGTCTCTTATTCCTTGTTCTCCCTCTCTGTTCTTGATCCAGCTGGGATCTCCCGCTCCCCCAAGCTCTCTTTCCCTCGACCCTTGTCCTTCATTACCTCCACTCAAGTCCAGGCTGTTCATGTAGATCTCATCCATTTCTCTGTCATTGGGCCATCCCTGTGTCTTCCTTAGGGTCCTGTTTTCTAGGTAGCCTCCATGGAGTTGTGAGTAGCAGTCCAGTCATCCTTGTTCCACATCTAGTATCCATCTATGAGTGAGTACATACCATGTTTGTCTTTTTGAATCTGGGTTACCTCACTCAGGGTGATTTTTCTAGATCCATCCATTTGCCTGCAAACCTCATGATGTCATTGTTTTTCTCTGCTGAGTAGTACTCCGTTGTGTATATGTACCACATTTTATTGATCCATTCTTCAGTTGAAGGGCATCTAGGTTGTTTAAATTTGTAAAGATATGTTGCATTTGTTTCACCTTGCCTGCCTAAGGCACCTGATTGGTCTAATAAAAAGCTAAACTGCCAATAGGTAGGAAGGAGAGGGATAGGTGGAGCTGGAAGGCAGAGAAAATAAGTAGGAGAAGAAGGAGAGAATGAGGGAAAAAGACAGGGGCACGCCCAAGGCCAGAAGCCAGGCAGCTGCCAGCCAGCCATGGAGACAGCAGGAAATTACAATATATACAGAAAGAGAGAAAGGTAAAAAGCCCTGGGGCAAAACATAGATAAAGAAAAACAGATTAAAATAAGAGCTAAGCTAAGGCCCAGCATTCAAAACTAATAATAAATCTCTGTGTCATGATTTGGGAGCTGTTTGGTGACCCAAAAGAAAAACCCTGGTACATAGGATGGCCTTGAACTTCTGAGTATCCTGCTTTCACTTCTCTGGTGCTAAGGTTATAGGCTTGCACAACCACATCCATTTTATGCAGTGCAAGGGATTGAACCCAGTGAGGCTTCATGAATGCTAGGCAACTGAGCTACACCCCCAATCCAGCTTTGGTAATTTTTTTTATGCCTAAACATCATGATATACAAAATACACACACACACACACACACACACACACACACACACACACACACACTGTAATGACAACATTTAGAACTAGTAGCTAATGTAACAATTCATTCCAAATGCTCAAGGGGGAAAACATTTCCAAATTAGAACTCTATGTGGCTGTTGAGCTCAGGCTATGCCCTACTCTAAGTTGCACTATATTGTATAAAAATATTTTTTAGGCTACGCCTTGCCTTAGGAAACTCCATTTGAGAAGTAGCTTTTAACTCGATTTTGAGGGAGAGGGATGACTAGATTCCCTGGGTGGACACAGAAACTGCATCATCTGTTGGTAGCCCCATCTTGCACAGAATGAAGAATGGCTTTTTCCTCTGATTAGAAAGAGAGCCACCCTGCAAGTGTAGGGAGAACTGAGACTGTGGGGACACACGGGCATATTCACATCAGGGAAAGCAGGCCCAAGAATTTATCAGACACATCAGAGCAAGGAAATGGTATAAATCCCTCACCTGAGACCATATAATGGGATGTACACCTTATAATTCGATGGCATGGCCCTACACCTACCTATCCTCTAATACTTTGTGGTGGTATTGTATTCCCCAAAATATTGTGCATCCTAATAAACTTATCTGGGGTCAGAGAACAGAACAGCCACTAGATAGACATAGAGGCCAGAAAATGGTGGTACACATACCTTTAATTCTATCACTTTGTAGGCAGAGATCCATCCGGATCTCTGTGAGTTTAAAGCCACACGGGAAACAGCCAGGCATGGTGACTCACGCCTTTAATCCCAGGGAGTGATGTCAGAAAGCAGAAAGGTATATAAGGTGTAAAAACCGGGAACTAGAAGCTTTTGGCCTGGTTAAGCTTTTAGGCTCTGAGCAACAG